GGAATCACGGCTTTGAGAGTCAAAAAACATACACAAACAAAACCAAATTAAACCCTGCGGTTCGTGACGATACATTGATGTGTAAAGACACGAAACAATCGGTCTGTGCAAGAAACTGAACAGTATTTATATCATTTTTTACCTCTGATTTTCACTGCAATGTCTGAACTGTCCTGAGCGCGTCCTCGACAGCCGGCGTCCTTACACGTCTTCTTCTTCTTCTTGCTTGTGCAAGTGCCCAAAGACAGTTGGACATAGTGGTATATTAGAGGTAAAAAACGATATAAATAATGTTCAGTTTCTTGCACAGGCCGATCGTTTCGTGTCTTTACACATCAATGTATCATCACGAGCTGCAGGGTTTAATTTGGTTTTGTTTGTGTATGTTTTTTTTACTCTCAAAGCTGTGATTCCCATCCACTTCCATTATAAGACTGACAGACTGCAACGGTTTGAGTTAAAAATCTCCATTTGTGTTCTACTGAAGAAACAAAGTCAACAAAGTTTGCGAACCATCCCTTTAAATGTTTCATGATCACAAGCAAACGATGATCTGTTTCAAACCCTAAAGAGCTGTTTGGCTGTATAACGTCTTCTAAAACCAGCTAAAGATGCGGTCAAGACCCTTTAAAACCCAGCCCACTGAATCAGATATGACCAGACTGGAAGACTAGCTTAGCTTGGGCTGGTTTTAGCTGTTTTTGTTTTTTTTTGTTTTTCTTCAGCAGTGTCACTGCCAAACCCCAAAAACATATTTCTAATTTTTCACTTGCTTTAGAAATACGCTAAAAACAAGTGAAAAAAATCTGCCAGCTAGTGCAAAAACACTTACATATATTTAAGTTACAATTCATGAAAACAACTAAATACACAATATTAGCATAACATGCTAACACCATTTCCATACAGTAATTTCACTGCAAAAATCATTTTCTTTTTTAGTATTTTCTTTTTTTATTTATTTCCCATTACAGTTACGCATTTAAAGATGTATTAAATCAAGATACACTTGATTTTTTTCTCATTTACTTGTTGAAAAAAGACGTCTTGTTTTCAGAAAAATGCATCAAAATGAATTAAAACAAGAAAAAAAAAAGTATATTGAAGATTTTTTTTAACTTACCAACAGACATTTTTGTCTTGTTTTAAGCATAAACTCACTTAATTTTGATAAGACCGTTTGCTTCTTGTTTGGCTGTATAACGTCTTCTAAAACCAGCTAAAGATGCGGTCAAGACCCTTTAAAACCCAGCCCACTGAATCAGATATGACCAGACTGGAAGACTAGCTTAGCTTGGGCTGGTTTTAGCTGTTTTTGTTTTTTTTTGTTTTTCTTCAGCAGTGTCACTGCCAAACCCCAAAAACATATTTCAAATTTTTCACTTGCTTTAGAAATACGCTAAAAACAAGTGAAAAAAATCTGCCAGCTAGTGCAAAAACACACTTACATATATTTAAGTTACAATTCATGAAAACAACTAAATACACAATATTAGCATAACATGCTAACACCATTTCCATACAGTAATTTCACTGCAAAAATCATTTTCTGTTTTAGTATTTTCTTTTTTTTTTTATTTCCCATTACAGTTACGCATTTAAAGATGCATTAAATCAAGATACACTTGATTTTTTTCTCATTTACTTGTTGAAAAAAGACGTCTTGTTTTCAGAAAAATGCATCGAAATGAATTAAAACAAGAAAAAAAAAAGTATATTGAAGATTTTTTTTAACTTACCAACAGACATTTTTGTCTTGTTTTAAGCATAAACTCACTTAATTTTGATAAGACCGTTTGCTTCTCAAGTAAATATAGTGACGTGTGAATGTATTTTCTTGAATTGAAATATAAAATATTTATTTTTAAATGCTTTTAAAAAAGTATATTTATATTTTGAAAATGTATTTTCAAAAATACACAACAAATCGCCAAAAATATATTGGTAGAAATATACATTTACAGAAAAAAAAAATATTTTAGCAAATCTATTTTTGGTCAGTTTTTGTATATTTTGAATATATAAAACAAAATAAGGCTTCACTAATCAGTTCACTAGTTTTTGTAACATAAACTGCAAAGAATTTTCAGTAAAACTTTACTTAAAGCCTTTATAAAGGGTTATTAAAGAGTATAATGCATTATAATTATTCATAATGTGCATTTTAATACATTATATCTCGTCATAAATAATTATAACCAAATTTAAAATGCATAATGTAACAATGAATTGATAAGTGTTATAATGTATTAACTGTGATTACAATTATTCATGAGATTGTACAATGCATTATAAGGTGCATTACAAGGCATAATTAATGCATTAAAACGACTTTTATAATGCATTATACATAAAGGCTTTTTCTTTAGACAGATATGTTTTGTTTTAAACAAACTCACTTAATTATAATTTTTTTCTTCAGAAAACAAGACTTAAAATCTTAGGCCATTTTGCTTCTCAAGTAAATAGATTTTGATTTAATAATGTTTATTTGGCACTGGAAATCAAGACAAAAATACTGTGTAAGAAAATCATTTTTTGCAGTGTAGTCAGTCTAGTTAGGATTCTGTTGATAATTTGAGAATGAAACCCATGTGCCCTTTTGGGTGATTTATTGGGAAGTTGATCAACACAACATATTGGACTTTTATATCAAACATTTGTTGTACCTTTTTTCCTGGCCTGTGCAATGACATCAGCAGCGCTCTTGCTCATCACTTTGGTGATGTAGAGCGGGCAGTTGGTCTGATTGGCGACGGTCACAGCCCGGTTAACGGCCTCGGCCTCCACCTATAAAACAACAGCCAACACTCACTGACCTTCAGCTGAAATGACAGAGGCAGCAGCTGTAAAGTGCTGCTCAGAACCTCCTGCACTTTATGTGCGGCTAAAGGTTTCTGGAAGGCTGATGTGTCTGCGATACCAATAATCAATGAGTCTGGCAGCAAAAACAGTGGGAAAGTGGAAAGTCTGAAATCCCCTGATCCCTAAAGAGAAATAAACCATAAATGTGTTTTAGTGCAGCATGTCTGACGGGTATTTTGGAAGCGTTCTTGGGTCTCGATGTATGATGATGACGTGCTAAAACCCCTTCCATGTGGTGCACAGCTGTAATTTCGCAGTGTGAATGTGGTGTGATGGTGTATTTGGTGTAGTTTGATGTGCACGTGAAGTGTTTTACCTCCTCTGGGCGGCTCAGAACATGTCCTTCTGGACCAGTGATACCCAATCCCAGAATCCTCTTCTGCTCCTGTAAACAGAAGAAAGTAAAAGAGGTTTTTATGGATTTCACTGCAAAAAAATTTTTCATTATTTCACAGTTAAAGGGGTGGTTGACTGCGATTTCACTTTTTTAATGTTAGTTAGTGTGTAATGTTGCTGTTTGAGCATAAACAATACCTGCAAAGTTACGAAGCTGAAAGTTCAATACAAAAGGAGATATCTTTTAGATATGTCTTTTAAAATTCTGCCAGTTTAATGCCTACAAAAACGGCTGGTAGAGACTACAACGAGTTACTTCCCGGGTTCGTGACATCATAAACCCAGATAAACCCCGCCCTCGGGAAAAGGCAGCAAAGGGGGCGGGGCCATGCTGCGCTGCTTTAGAGAAGAGGAAGAGAAAACTAGAGGTGCACGTAAAAATCTATTCATATATGAATCCCGATTCTGTCTACTAACGATTCTAATGGATTCACAAGTTTCAAAATCAATGTTCTAAAGCAGCGGTTCTTAATACTGTTCCTCGCGTTCCCCTGCTCTGCACATGCTCTGCATCTCTCTCTCTCTCTCTCTCTCTCTCTCGCTCATTCAGCTCAGCTCCAACAATGAACTGTTCCAATTATACACTTATTTTCACATAGCTATTAGAAGCATTAAACATGGACGTGCGTGCAGTTGCCGTAATGTATTAAAGCTTTAATCAGGATAAAACCGTATATTAAAAGTTAACATAAACAGTAGCATTTACAAATAACAGCATATCTAAAAGTATGAGACAACAACAAACAAAAAACACAGGCCTACCATTAAAAGCCGTGCTTGCACAGGTTCTGCACGATCCTCTTCAATAATATCCTCTGCTTCTCAATCGGGCTCAAACTGATAAGCGATATTAATGACGCCGTTGTTTACAATACAACCGGAGCACATGGTGGGGGGGAGGGGCGGGACGTTTAGACGCGCACTAGAGGCGGTTTAGCCAATCACAACACACTGGGCTAGCTAACCAATCATAGCCCATCACCTATTTCTGATGGCAGGGCATCATAAAAACAGGAAAAGATCAGACCGTTTCTCAGAGAAGGGAAATATACAATAAACAGGAAAATAAACAGTGAACCACCCCTTTAAGCACATTTCTTTCCAAATGATCATCACTGTAATTCAGACACTTTATATATATATATCTCTTTTTATAATGATTACATTTTTTTTTTAAATCAGCATTAAGCAGTACAACAAATACTACATTTAACATTACATAATTTTTCACCTGCATTAATGAGAATTACATTTCTTTTTACATTACAAAACATTTTCTGTAATAAGAACTGGGGAAGGGAGGATAATTTAATTGTCATGAAAAAAGTCACAGTGCAAAAAAATCGTATCCTCTTTTTGAGGTGACATACGGTCAAATCAAAATTTATTCGGACACCTTCAACATTTCTCACATTATCACAGTTTATTTGCTATAGTTTAGAAAATGATTATACAATATGACAAGAACAAATTCATCTTGATAATGTCAGATAACTTTGATAGAAAGGTATGTAATAAATTAGGTTTAATAGCTGTCAGCTGTTACATTTACGTACACAAGTAAATAATACCAATTTAGGTCAACCGATTACCAAGCAATGCTTCATTTTGTTCAGTCTGTCGTGTAAAAAGATCGCATTATCAATTAAAGAAAAAACACTTCAGCAAAACATGGTCAGGTCAAAGTGTCTGGATAATTTTTGGTCCCAAATTTTTATCAATTCAAAAGTGGTATCACTGTATGAAGAATTTTTGGGTACAATATGTCACAGTTTTGCTATCCTCACTTACATAAATGAACTATAGTGTCCTGCACCCACTATCAAAAATTATATCTGGTGTATTTATATATATATATATAATGTTTATTATAATTATTGTTTATATTATGTAAAATATTACATGTAATATGTATGTGTGTGTGTGTGTGTATATATATATAATTTTTTTATTTTTTTTATTTTTTATTTTTAGTGTAGGAAAGGGGAGCTCACCTCAGCAATGATGTCTCCATTCTCTGCGTGCACCTGGGCGATGGCTCCCAAGTCCCTGATCACACTGAACACCTCATACATCTACAACAGACAGGAGAAACACAGCACTGGGAGTGGTTTCTGTGTTTATGCAGTGCAGTTTGTTTTATCATCGGCTCTGGTTCTACAGCTACAGGAAATGTGCTGAACATCAGAGCAAACATGTCTGTTCCCCTGTGACCATCAGCCCTGCACGCTCAAATCATGGAGAACTCATCATCACTGCACTCTCAACGCACCAAAAACACCAATACTGCTCATTTAGTGTCTAATCCATCTTTATCAGGATAATAAAATGAATATGCATGAGAAATCATGCATACCTGGGAGTCGTTTAGCTGGAAAATATCCTTGTATGCCAAGTAGACCAGGAAAGAGTTGACACCTGGGAGAAAAAAAAGACCAGGATGTAAGACATCAGACATGGACATGCATACAGAGATCTGGAGCTGCTGAAACAGGCAAGGTTGAAGTAATGAGTTCATGGACTTTGAGCGCTTAAAAGCAGAAATGTGCAGGTTGTATTCTTATTTTGTTACCATTGCCATGCATTATACGACTGATAGACTGCAACGGTTAAAGTTAAAAATCATCATATGTGTTCTACTGAAGAAACAAAGTCACCTACATCTTGGATGCCCTGGGGGTAAGCAGATAAACATCACATTTTCATTTTTGGGTGAACTATCTCTTTAAAGCACCTGTAATGATTCTTCCCTCGTGTGTAATTTTAGCCATAAAGTACCTAAATCATCACTTTCACGTGGGAATACTGTTCTTGGTATATAAACTCCACTGATAAAACTGCTGCATTGTGACATTATTTATGAGAATATTAAGCTTTTTTGGCACCCAATTCTTATTATTGAACTGCATTTGGCATTTGACATTTTACTTGTTTTACTTTTTTGCTTATCCTGAATTATTCATTCATTTTTTTTTTATTTATTGTATATATTTTATATAACTTATTTTGCTTTTTGTTCTAAATTCTAAATTATTCATTATATTTGTTCGTTTTATTTATTCTCAAAGATGATTTTCATGTGATGTTTTTACGAAAATAATTATACATTATTTTCATGAAGCGTTTTTATGAAAAGATTCTATATTGTTAAATTCAAATCTTAATTTAAGATGTAAACTGCCTAAATCATAACTTTTCACATGAGAACACAGGTTAATAATCACTATCAGATGTAACTGCAGTATTTAGATTTTTCTCTATATAAACAGACAATTGCACATAGTATGTGAAAGTAACCAGATTTACCCACTTGACATGAGCATATATTATCACCCTAATCTCATGTTAACACATAATGTTTAAGTCCTGCAGCTGAACTTTTTGATACTTTGATCATTTGGGGGAAAAGTTAAAATGATCTTCTCTGTTAATCAACATGGCCACAAATGCTGTCAACTGATCTAACCTACATGCAAGCTTTCGTTTTTGTTGCACACAGGCAAAAGTGTGTAAACTGCAGAGGAGCATACCGTGATCTTTGACCAGCGCCTCCAGCTCCTCCTGCATGCCCTTGTGCCACTCTGTGATGTCCACATGAAGAGAGTAATCACAGCAGGACTTGTGGTCGGCCCACTCCCTCCACTGGTTAAAAGCAGCGATCAGACTGACGCCCGGCTCTGGGACCACATGATCGACTGAAAACACACAAACAAATCAAAATATAGTGATACTGTATACTTATGTTGACGGAAATGTAAATGTATAGAAGGAAATGGAAAGATGTTAAACATGTAATTTGTCCCAGTTTTTAAGCTAAACTATCATAGAGAATGACTTGGGGTCAGTGTTATTTTAGTATCATTTATATACTGTTACAGCATTTATTAATATTTAGAATTTGTATTTTTACTTTTTTCAGTTTTCATTTTAATTTTAGTTTAAGTAATTTTGTTATGGGATTTTGCCATTTTTAATTTGTCATTGAAAGCATATGAACACAAACATTGCATTATTTTGTGCGTTATTATTTGTTTTCTTTCCTTAACCAAGGAACTGGACACATGAAATGTCATGTACAACATTTAGAAATTTTTATTATTATTATTTAATTTTGAGTAATTTTGTTATGTGATTTTGGCATTTTTCAATTTGTCAAATTTGACTATCTAAAAAAAATGTATATGTAATATTTAGCTTTCTCCCCCAAACCAAGGAACTGTATGCAGTAAGCATCATGTTCAACATCGTGAAATGAAAAATATAGATTTAGAAGCAAATTACTGCAACACAAATATATATACTGTATATATATATATATATATATATATATTTAAATATATGCTGTATGTGTGTGTATTTATATATACATAATAAATATACACAGTACACACACAGTGTGTGTGTGTGTGTGTGTGTGTATCTGCAATTTAAAGTTTTCAGAATATTAAAATAATGGATCAAAATCTCATGATTTATTTTTTTTATCAGTTTAATTAAGGTGTAATCTGCCTTGTGTATTTATATATACATAATAAATATACACAGTACACACACAGTGTGTGTGTGTGTGTGTGTGTATCTGCAATTTAAAGTTTTCAGAATATTAAAATAATGGATCAAAATCTCATGATTTATTTTTTTTATCAGTTTAATTAAGGTGTAATCTGCCTTGTAAATATTGTAAATATATATATATATATATATATATGTATATATATATATATTTAATGTTTTAGACGTACTGATCATAGTGGTGCCACCAGCGAGAGCAGCTCGTGTGCCTTGGTAGAAATCATCAGCAGCTGTCATTCCCCGGTCGGGCATCTGGAAGCGGGTGTGAACGTCAATGCCACCGGGTATCAGCATCCTGCCGTGGGCATCGATGGTCTTCACACCACCAGGAACTATGAGGTTTTCACCGATTTGCCTGGAGACAGAAAAAGAGACAGTCACAAAGGACAACAGAGGTCATCTCTACTGTCAGTCATTACTTATGAATATGAGATATAATGACAAGAAAATGAATGATATCAAATAACAACAACAGCAAAAACACTTGCTTGATGACTCCATCCTCCATATAGATGTCGGCATGGAAAGACTGATCATCATTCACTATCTTCGCTCCTTTGATTAGAAGTCGGTCACTCTGTGAGAGAGAGAGCCAAGAGAATCATACAAAAATGCATTTATTCCCAGCGCCTGTATGCATCTATTTATAAAGTAATCTGACTGTAACTCAATAGATATCATATGCTATCAGTTTAAGTACAGACACACTTTGTCTTGCACAGTATGAACAATAAAACAAAAATGCATGTACATATTTCACAGTAATATTTCTTTCAATGGCAGTTTTTAAAGGCCACAAACCCACTGCCATTAAATACAGCTTTCACTCATTTTCTGAGCTAAATTGTCTATACTTTTCAAATTGAAATTACACACACACACACACACACACACACACACACACATATATATATATATACTGTATATGAAATTACAAAATTAGAAATATTTATATATAAATATATATTTTTTTATTTATTAAAATTCATATATTATTTTATATTTATTTATTATTATTATTATTGTGTGCGTGTGTGTGTATATACACACACATAAAAATATACATAAAAAATTACAAAAATATACATAAATGTAATTTTTTTTGTACTACACTGACTCCTGCATTTTGCACACACACAATTTCCATATACATATAATATATGCTGTATAAAATACATACATTGTGTCATTCATTAATATTCATGTTGTTTTATATATGATTTCATATAGATTTATTGTGCTTGTGTGTATATACAGTATATATACATATATATATACACACACATTTTACTATAATTTTACTATGGTGACATTTTGCATAGTTTATAATGACATAATTACATAGCATTTTGCACACACACACACAAAGAGAGAGATAATTTCAACAATTAAATGCAATTATGATACAAAAAACCCTGCAACATGTGTGCTGACATAAAAAGTCACCACTGTTGTTGACTGTCACGAATCCTGTCCATGGACTTCCGTTCATTCACCATCAGAGGTCACCCTTTCCATTACATTGACTCTCGCACTACACCTACTGTTGCTTATCATCCCGGACTACATATCCCATCATTCATTGCACTGATTGCACTCAGCATGGATTGCACACAGCTGTGTCCACTGATTGCACACAGCTGTTTCACATCATTCACTCACTATATAACACTCACTCAAACTACCATTCACTGCCGAGTTTTGCTTCGCCTGTTAGTTTTCCTAGCTCCTGTTATCCTGCCCGTGGTTCCTGGTTTTGCCTTGCCTTGTCGGTTTTCTCGGTTCTGATCTTTGCCTGTCTCCCTGGATTTATCCCTCTAGTCTCGCCCCTGTGATTCTGTCTGCCGATCGTCGACCTACGCTAGCCCTAGGACTATTCTTGTGTTTTGCCCGCCATATACCTGTTTGTCATTGTTCGACCCTGCCTGTTATGACCACGTCTCTGTCTTCGGTTCAGAATAAAGCTTGCACATGGATCCACACGTCTCACGTCTCTGTCGCCCCATTACATTGACATTAAAGTGAGCTAATTTGATAAATGTCATTGCTTGACAAGGTCACTCTAGGAAACAACCAAATGGGATGCAACTGTAGATTGGGGACATACTGCGCAGTTACAATCCTGTTCTAAACCATACAGTACACTAAAACATGACCGGCAAGCACTGGACATCAAGTTCAATCAGAGCTGAAGCATAAAGATCGCTGAGGCACATCAGAAAAGCACAGTGATTCTTATCATGCTAAATCAATTCTGACACGCCATCATGAGTCCAAACGCCATTTCAGGACACCGCCATCGACTGCGATCCCTCCTGTTCAGACACACAGAGCACAGAAGCATGGTGCATATTCAATTTCACATCACTGCAATAAAAAATAATCTGATTTAATGCCATAGCATTGACACTTTAACCCTGTCGTGATGGTGTGGAGGTCATGCACCCTTATCCAAGAGCATCATGGGAATGATGGGGGGGTTTAATAAGATCTCAGTTGCCTTGTGCTCTGTAATTAAGGACTTGATGGGATAATTGTCATGGCAGTCCTATTCGGTAGCTGTTTGTCTGCTAATGAGTAGCTATGAAGAGAAAGTAGAAAAGTCTGTGCTGTGGAGAACAAGACATTGTTGGAAAGAATTGTTAACAGCTGGTCCTTGAGGTAATTACAGTATATTGGGCAAGAAAATCCAAATGTATGCCTATCATTCATCGACCTCAAATGAAAAAACATAAGTAGTAGCATCTATAATGGCTGTTTGCTCTAATGTTACCTTAGATAAATGTGTGTAAATGTGTATTAGGCACTGTGCAGAGCATGGAAGTTATTAGTGCGCTACTGCATGATATGAAGGTGCCAATGTGATCATTGGCCTTTTTTCCCGGTAACAGTGGAAACAAAATATGCCATAATTTTTGCTCATACAGATAAGAGTATTACATTATTCAAAACTGTCAAGGGTCTACTTTTATTTGAATACATTCATAATATCAACATGGCGTTGCGCTTCTGTAAAATAAAGAACACAATCAGGACGCACTTTCTGCCGTCTCTGTCTCTGTGCAATAAAGCATGGCAAAAACTCAGGAGCGGCAAAAACCATATACTTGCCTCACAGACATGAGAAACCATTTACAGAAAGCTAGAAACGTCTACTCTAAAATAAACCAATTCAAATCGAAAAAACAAATACTCTGTGATTATGTAATCCCTCTAAATTCCCTCTAAAGGCATGTCCACTCACTGTACTGCAGAGATGACAAGTCAGCATCCACTTTTTCTTTGCAGCTGACACTGACTCAGAAAACAATAGTTTATTAATAAATATTTAAAATAGCTCCTTGCTATTTTTCACAACACATAGTCATTAGTTTAGCTCCTCACTCCCCATATATTTAAATAAAATAGTATAAATATGCAATTAGTCAACTAATTCCTACTGAAATAAAATTACATATTAAAAAACTTATTTTATTTCAACTAGTTGCCAAGGCAAAATTTCTCGTATTCTTTTAGTTTAACTTGATATACTAAAATAACTAAAATTAACAAATTTCTGTGGGTATATTGTCCAACTCTCTGTAGCGTTAGCCTATTACTAAAAATATATTTTGTACAAAAAAAAAAAAAAACGAGAGAGAGAGAGAGCAAAATGTTTAGTTTTATTCAGAATAAAACCCTGAATACACATTAAAAATATCCCCAAGACAACTGAATCAAGTTTTAACCAATCATATTGGCTAGCAAACATTTTATACATAGATATTAACCCTTAAAGTAGTAAATACAGCTTGGGAAAGAATGATCACGAAATGACTTAAATGGGTCATATGATGCGATTTCAAGTTTTCCTTTCTCTTTGGAGTGTTACAAGCTGATTGTGCATAGATAAGATCCCTGAAGTTGCAAAGACTGAAGTTTCAAAACCAAAGAGATATTCTTTATCAAAGTTAAGACTCTGCCACGCCCCCCTAAAACGGCTCGTTCTAACACGCCCCCACATATCTACCTCACTATGTGGAAATATTAGCATAATGCCGCCCAAATGTGCACGCAAAGAAAGAAGGCATGGTTTCAGTAACCGCAGTTAGTGTTGAAGCAGCCATGTCAGGGAGACGCTGTGTGTTTCAGTGCGAAAGCAAAAGCACTTTATTTGGCCTTCTGAAAGTAGATGTATTTAGGAATCTTTAAGATCACTCACAACAGAACAGCAATGTATTTTATGGACGTCTGTTTCATGAACCTAGGAGAGGAGGTCATTCTGACTTTGCTATGACAATCTGGCGCTTCTGAATCAGCTACTGTTTTATTATTAGTTTAAGTATTTGCTATTGACTGTTCAAATGCAGAGTTTTGCGCATCGCGTGTGTGTGTGTGTGTGTGTGTGTATGTGCGCGCGCACGTGTGTGTGTGTGTGTGAGATAGAGAGAGAGAGACAGGATCACATCACAGTGGAGTCAGCTGTCTTAACCGTGGCTTGTGTACTGCAAACACATACCAGCTTCATCACTGTGTCTGTCACGCGACTCTGTTCCCCTTTCGGGCTTGAACTGATGGTAAAACGAATGACATTATTTACTGTCTTTACATTTATTTTGAAAGATGAAGCTCGCGATTATGGTAAGGGGCGTTACATTTCCGACGAGTGCTTGTGGTGTTCGGCCAATCACAATGCACTGGGTCAGCTGGCCAATCAGAGCAGACTGCGCTTGTCGGAAGGAGGGACTTTGTAGAAAACTAAGCGTTTGAGAGAGGCGGGGCATAGAGGACCTACAATAATGTACAGTATTTGAAAAATAATGTGTTTTTTAACATTAAAGCATGTCAACATATTCTGTTACACCAAATACACAAAATAATGATATTTAAAAAAGCATCATATGACCCCTTTAAATATCTGAATGGAAATCAGGCCTAATTCATCTCTGAGACAAAGCCTTTCTGTTCACTATGTTACTATGAAACACACAGTAGTTCCAGACTGCATTCATCATCACAGCCGGCGCTCGCTCATGCTGTTAGCTGAAAAACATCTCGCAAACATCCAAACCATCTTAACTGTATTAGTCACAGTGGAAGAACTGTGGCTCTCGAGCTTATTTGTGACCCTGGACCAGAAAAGCAGTCTTAAGTCTCTGGGGTATATTATTAGCAATAGCCAAAAAAAACATTGTATGGGTCAAAATTATCGATTTTTCTTTTATGCCAAAAATCATTAGGATATTAAGTAAAGATCATGTTCCATGAAGAATTTTTGTAAATTTCCTACTGTAAATATATCAAAACTTAATTTTTGATTAGTAATATGCACTGCTAATTACTTCATTTGTTTTAAAAAGTAGTCTCAAAACAGATTTGTGCAGGGCCTTTCCTTGATTTTTTATTGTTGTATTTTTGTTTTAACATAAACTGGTTATTGTAGCTACTTTGTTTTACTATATCTCTTTTATGTTTGTATTTTGATCTTTTCTGCGAATGCACATATGCATGTCTTTGTAAAGTGGGCTACTTTGTATACACTGTTTTAAAAGGTGCTATATAAATAAAGCTTAAACCAATCAGACCTCCACAACTGAC